TATATTTTTATTTAGGGATGCATCCAAGCATGCCCAGATACTAAAGAATCTATACCAGCACTTTTCTAACTGATTCTGCTGCCTGAGATTCCACACCTGCTTACAGCGCTTCCGCCGGCCTGCACATCTGCCCCTGCTGAGACCCTCTGCACCCCGCCTGATACATCAGGCCGGCACCCCGGAGCGGACTGGCAGCACAGAGCATGTAGCAAAGTGATATACTATTATTCTGAATTGCTGTCTAAAGTATTGCTGGGAGCTGTAGTCCTCTATAACTGATGGTAATTTGCATTGCTGTATAATGTATTGCCGGGATTTGTAGTCCTCTATAGCCGGGGCCATTCTGCATTGCTGTATAATGTATTGCCGGGATTTGTAGTCCTCTACAGCCGGGGCCATTCTGCATTGCTGTATAATGTATTGCCGGGATTTGTAGTCCTCTACAGCAGTGGGTAATCTGCATTGATGTATAATGTACTGCAGAGATTTGTAGTCCTTTATAGCTGGTGCCATTCTGCATTGCTGAGATTTGTAGTCCCTCTGCAGCTTGGAGTCAGTGGCAGAACTACCAGGATCGCAAATGCGACCGCGCCCTGGCGCTTCACCTAAAACATTAGGTCTCGTTCACACCTAGGCGTATTGCATATGCGCGGCAGTCGCGCGTTTTTTTACCGCGATTCGCGGTAAAAAAGTCGCACAACCGTCGCGTCTTTCCGAAGGCTACTTGGCTCTATCCCAATGGAAACGCGCAACAAAAACGGCACAAAGTAGTACCTGGGCCTTTTCAGGCGTGGGCCGTTTTGTAGCGCGTTAGGGACGGGCGGAAATACGCCAAGGTGGGAACGAGACCATTGAATACAGTGGGATTTAGATTTTTGAGCGTTTTGTAGAGCGTTCATCGAGCGTAGAACACGCTACAAAACGTTCAGGTGTGAACGAGGGCTAAGTCTGTATTGTTTCAGAAAAAGTCACATGGCAAAAAGTTGGTAATTGGTAATGGCGAGTGCCTGAGGAAAAGTATTGGTCTGGAAAACACTATCGGTGAGAGTGAGTGAGTGAGAGAATACCACACTACCTCTATTGATCAGATGTAAAAGCCTATAACGATCCAGGGATGTACATCCATACATGGCTGTTCCTGTTTATACCCACGTACAGCTTCTATAGGAGGCTGTGCGCAGCACCTTTGGCTCCCTGGTGGTGGTGGGGGGGTTTGAATGGACCCGAATTTACATTGTGTGGGCTTGGCCGCCCAGGTGCGTGAGCCCCAATAGTCTCACTTGCTCTGCTTATTGCACATGAATTGTCGGGAGTTCTTTCAGTTTCACTTATCACGGTCACATATAGGAGAAATCTACCGAATGGAGACACAGCAATAAAAACATGACAGCAGAGTATGGAGCAAATTCATAAACTATTATCCTGCCTTGCTGTGTAATGCATTGGTGGGGACGTGGAGTCCTCTATAGCCGATGGTATGCATAGACAGCAATAAAAACCTAACAGGGGTTCTAATTCTTCTCCACGCTATCCAAAACTAAACAATAACATTGTCCCGATTGATGACACCGGAGTCCACCCATAACTGAATAAGATTCCGGTAAGTCGACCCTTAAAAGCAGAACACTGGTCCAAAAATAACAAAATAAAAGTGATTAGCCTGTTCAGAGATACAAGACCAAAACCAGCTTTAGCTGCAATGGTTGCCTTCAATCCAGAGATTTCCCCCCACAGTACTTCTTCCAGCCACTAGATGTCCTCAGTCTGATGGCCAGCTTCCTATGAGCCCAGGTCATCCCAGCTTGTGAAAGGAGCAGCACAGTGATGAGGTCATCTCTGTCACTCTGCTCTCTCCTACCATCAGCTTGCTGCTTCTTCCTCTCTTGGGCTACTATGCAAGAACTACAGGAGGCTGAGACCGGGTCACATGCAAGTACTAGCACTGTTTGAATTTAAAAAAGGGACCTTGAATGCTGTATTCATGATTACAGAGCTATGGAGGAGTCTTCATGTCACCCTCAGGTCCTTCAGGTTACACACAGAGCTTTAACGGCCCCAATGTTAACATGCACAAAGCAGGCAAGTTACATAAACAGATTACACCCTGCAAACTGAAAGTGCAAGCAAATGCTCAGTGTGCGCAAACCCCCAACACAGCCATACCCAACGCCCTGCTTACCTTCGGGCTTAGAAGAGGCTGAGCCGTACAAAGCTGTCCCCACTGTTAGCAGGAGCCACAGCTGCCGGAAGCACCCGGTCCCCATAACAATCCCCCCGCCGGCGGCAGCACCAACAACACACGGCACCCTCCGCACTTTGGAAATAGTCTATGCGCTCCCGGACACGCCCGCCTTCCCGGGATTGGTCCGGTAGCCGGGCTCCCGGGGAATTTTCTGATTGGTTCTTCGGCGCATCATCTGTTACTAAGTAGAAAACCACTAAGTAGTCAGACAATCGAAAAGTTGCCGAGTGCTTTCCAGGAGCCGTCCCTGGTTTTTTGTACCCGGGGTTCTACGTTGTCCTAGTGACTGACAACACATGGGGCCCCCGGGCAATACAATATTATGGGGCCCCCTTGTGCTCCACCCATATACAAGCCCCATCCACAGCCAAAGGGCTGGTGTAAGGGCTATTCACAATATTCACTATAGCCCGTACAGCAGCCGAGCGGCTCAGCCGAGCCAAACCTATAGGCTTCAGCTTGGCTGAGGCGTATTCACAGCCGAAGCAGGGAGAAAGGTCAGCCGAAGCCAACTGATCTCCACGCAGATGACAGCAGGGCGGAGCCAGCTGTGATTTCACGGCTGGCTCCACCCAGTTGTAATAACAGATTAGCGTCCCCAAACGACCAGGGGATGCTGATCTGTCATTAAACAATAACTGGGCGGAGCCGGCCATGACATCACAGCCGGCTCCACCCAGTTGTTATTTATTGGCCGGGACCTACTAGAAGACTCTGGCAGGTACCGGTCAATAGGAAACCGGATGTGTGTCATTTTTTTTTTCTTTAAGATATTTTTTAACATTTTTAAATTTTCCTATTTTTTTAACGTTTTTTAACCCCTTCATGGCAGGCCTTTTTTTCATTTTTTGCACCCATGTTATATTCCACATTTTAGGCCTGATAATGACTTAAAACCCCCAAACATTATATATTTTCTGACTGCCAAGACCCTATACAATATAATGGTGGTAGTTGCAAATTTTTATGTTGCGCAATATTAGCGCAACTCCTTATTAAACCCCAAAATTTTGTGACAAATTTAATTAAATGCCCCAAAACACAACAAAATACCCATTTTTTAAATGAAATATAAAAGATGAGGTTAGAATGAGTAAAACGATACCCAACATGCCCAGTTTACAAATTGTAAAAAACTGCAGTACCCCAAAAAGTCCACAGAAGACGCTTTAAAAGCCCCCACAGATCATCAATTTAGAGATACCCCAAAATTCTGGCCCTAGAATTATTGCTCTCACTCCGGCATGCGCGGCGATACATGTGTAGCGCATTCGTCGTTTTCATACGTAGGCGCACCCGACGCGTGTTTACGTGGCGACGCGTGTGCTCGAGGGGGCGGGGATTTTCTAAGGTGATGCTGGGGGTCTAAAAGACCCCCAGTGTCACCTTTGATGCTGTACGTCGTCAGTCACGAAGGGGTTAAACAATTTTCCTACATTTTGTTTCTCATTCATTTAACTTTTTTTTTCTATTCTGCTCGCTACCACGGAGGTACTGAGCAGAATAGCCGAGCCTAATGCCGTTTGCGGCATTTAGCTATTTACTTACTGCCGTTCTGCCCCTATGAGAATAGGGCTGAACGGCAGTGAGTGAGCTGCCGGAGCTTCAGGCTCAGCCGATCCAGATGTTGGATCGGCTGACTCGAACAGCTACTGCACTTCGGCTCAGCCGAAAATACAGAGCATGTTCGGCTGACCGAAGGCAGCTGATGTACGGCTGATTTCAGCCCATGGCTGAAGTGGATAGCCGAACAGCGTTCAGCTCACTTCACTTCGGCTCCGTTATTCACTTGGTGAATAACCCCCATAGTGTTTGCACACGGGACACAAATGCTATATGTGAAACAACTGCATGGATTCCGCTCGTTTGCAGCTATCATATAGCCGCGAACGTGCAGTCTCTGCTGGATTATCGCGCTTGCACTATTTTGGGGGCCGTGCGGTTTCCCACAATAGTCTGATAAAGCACATAAAAGTGCATTGTTTTTTCTGTTTAGAGCGGCTCCGCTTGTATTCAGACAGCCACTCCAGTGTGAATGGAGCTTTAACCCGCACGACCCCCAAAATACTGCAAGCGCGATAATCCAGCGGATTCCGCACGTTCACGACTATATAATGGCCGCAAACTAGCGGAATCCATGCAGTTCACATATAGCGTTTGCGTCCCGTGCGGGCTCCCACATGAAAAACCGCACGGGGAGCGCAAATGCTGTATGTGAATGGAGACTAAAGGGTTAACAGTTTACAGCTAAAAAAAAAAAGTAATTAAATTCACTTACCAGCATCAGGGCTCCTGATCCCCAGGTTCCAGACGGGGTTTTTGTAGAACTGCTCCAGTAGGGGGCCCAGGGCCCGATCTCAGTGGGGCCCCCCTAGCATGAGGCTCTCGTGCTTCCGTCCGCCCTTCGCGGTAGGTCCGCCCTCCGTCCACTGCGACACGCCCCCGTCCACTGCAGCACGCCCCCACTTTGGAACTCTTCGCGGCCGCGCCGCTGTTGGAGATGCGGCTCTGCTAAAGCGGCAACGGCAGTGTATAGTGGGCCCGGGAGGCGGGCGACACAGCCGTTGCTGCTTTAATAAACCCGCGTTCTCTTCCATGTGGGCTGAAAAGGGCACGGGGGTCGATGACGGTCCCCGTCTTTGGCTGCGGGCCCTCGGCCAATGCCCAACTGCCCGTATGGTCAGTCCGCCCCTAAGTAATTGAAAAATAATATAACTGTGGCCATTAATGAGGCTCTTGCCTCAGGCGGCATCTCTTTGGGTCAAGTGGGGGAGAGGCAGGCAATGTTTGCAGTGTTCCTGCTGCTCCCTTTATGGCCGGGGTGTCCCAAGTTGCTAAGTGCTGGGCCATACACATCTCGCCCCGCCCCCCCAACTCTTAGCAACCTGGGACGCTCTAGCCAGCGTCCCGTCCAGCTCTTAGCAACTAGTGACGTCAGTGAGCTGGGCAGGAGGCAGGCCGGAGCCAGAGCTAGGCGGTGAGATGATCCGAGCCCCCCCCCGGGCGGACATAGACTTACTACTCTGGCACTGCCCGTTGCCTCTACTCCTAGCACAGGCAGAACTACTAGAGTCACATCGACCGGACCCTGGCGTTCCACCACTTCCTGCTGTTCAGGCCGCAGCAGAGACAGGAGAGAGCCCGCTCACCTCATGCGGCCGCCCCGCAGCAGCCAGTGGCGGCACCTGAGTCAGAGGAGGGCAAGCAGGGGCTGGAGCTAGAGGAAGATGAAGGGCTGGGGCGGAGGGAGTTTGTGGATGCAAGGTGAACCCCAGGGATGCACAAACAACACTCAGCAGGTGAAAAGCACTTCTGTGCCTGCCTCAAAGTGGTGAGTGAAGTATGTCACAGTAAATTGTATTTAAATAAAAAACAGAATGACAGTGGAGAGAAAAATATTTTCTTATAGAAATGTCATGCTGTGGATTTTATTGATTTTTTTCTTTATACAATGTACTAGGTCCCCTATATTGTGTAGAAGTATTGTATTAGAACAGTACTGCGTGCTTTAGTACCGTTGCTCTGCATTTTTTAATACCTTACTCTGCGTTCTTTACTACCATGCTGATGAGCCGGGTGACTTCCTCCCCCTTAGCAAAAGGGAATATATATATTTAAAAAAAAACAATTTGTGAACACATAGCCAGACCAGACTGTACAGTATTAAAGAGGTTTTCCTGCCCTTAAGGGATAATTAAAGCCTCCGTTTTGTTTTGCATAGTTCACTGTGCTGTGAACTGCCAGCAACCCACAGGTGGCGAAGAGTGTATGGACACCCCTGAGTAGTGTACTGACTATGTTGGCTGCTCTCCTGCTACCTGTCCTTAATTTAGCTATACTTTATATTAGGATCAGTGACAGTATTGTCACAGTTGATACTGTTGGGTGCCACAGCGAACTGTCACCGGGGTGGCCCAACAAAATGTTGTTATGGAGTTTGATGATGTGTGGTAATACCTTTGTACTGTATCTGTATTGCACTGGTTCCAGACACTAGCCCTTTGCAAATTGGACTCAGTGCCTGCTGGGCTGGTAAGAATTCCAAAAGGTAGCTAAATGGCGGACCACGGTACAGAAACGGACTGAGCGACTTTTCTGTCTGGACCCGCGATTCGGACCCCGGCTTGAACGAAATTTTACTCACCGGAACTCCTGTATTTGAATTCACTACCACTGCTATATATTATCCTCTTAACAATAATTTGAGAACGGATATTGGTACTGAAGTCCCATAACGTGGATTCACCAGTTGGCCATAACCTGGAAAGTTTTATACCGATATCCAAAATCTGTGCAAATCACAGGCATGTGCACAGGGCCGGATTTCCCACAAGGCCAACTTAGGACTGGCCTTGGGGCAGCAGGGAGCAGAGGGGCAGCAGGGGTGTGGAATTCCTATCTCCCAATGCCCGGGACATGCAGTTCCGGGCTCCAGGCGGGTAGTTGTTTTCTACATTTAGCCCTGGTTTGGGCAAGCAGAGCTAAATGTACAGCGGGGAAGCCGTCGCTTGTTTTGTACAAGTGATCTCGGCGATGTCACTGAGATCACTTATATGCAGCCTGCGGGTCCACCATTCTCCATGGAGGGGGGGTGTTTGGCGGGTAGGGGGTGCATTGAGGAGCCTGGCCTTGGGGCAGCAGAGAGAGTAAATCCGGCCCTGCATTTGCATGTGTTCGAACATGGTGTCACATTTGTCCAACCAAGGGTCTCCACCACTGTGCAAAAATAGACTCCACACGTGAATGTTGAATGGACAGTTTCTCTTCAAAGGAAATTAATGGTCTGTGTGAAAAAAAATGCAATAAACAGGGCTCAGTGGTCACTTTTTGTATTTTGAAGTACTTAGGGAAAGGTATAGATTCTTTAAAGACCTTTTTGTTGCAAGACACAGAACGGACCAACGTTTTAATGGGATACCTTGGTTTTTTAATTGTGCTTTGGATCATGAAGATCCGAATGAGGATATGGGGAGATCTTATGTTCATTGATATAGTCTGTTGTAGTCTTCAAAACAGATCTTCTTTTGTTTTGCAATCACATTTACTCATAGACAGGACTTTGAGAGTGACTCTGCAAAGGTGGTAACATTATGCAAGAGGGGAAGTATGTTTAGCTCTCACATAGATTGCTGCCAAATTTTGTGCATCTAGATCCGCTGCCAACAGAAAAAGTAGACAAACAATTATTCACAATAATATTCATATTAGTGTACATATTAGCTGCCCGTAATAGTTCACAATCTCCAAACTGAAGCTTAAAGGAGAACTATGGGGTCAGGGCTTTTCCCCATAGTTCTCCTTAGGGTAACAGGAGGATACAAAGTAGCGTCCTCCCGTCACCCTAAGCTCAGTACACCGCGAGCTGCAGCTCGCGGTATACTGAGACACCGCAGCCGGAGCGGATCCCGACATCGATGCCGAGATCCGCCCAGCTGCGTGAGTGACAGCTGGCTCTGCCTCTCTAGAGGCAGAGCCAGCCGTACCCGCCCCTCCCCCGTCCGCTCCGCCAGTCAGCGCTGGTGGACCGGAGCGGGGAGGGGGGAATCCATCCCCTCCCCTCCCACGGCAGAGAGCCGTGACAGGATCGAGAAGTGAGCGAACACCGGCATGTGTTCCCTCACCTCCCGATCTACTGAGCCGACCTGTGACAGTCTCATTGTCACAGGTCGGCTAGAACTATGAGGTGAGTGAAAAGCACTCACCTCATAGTTCTCCTTTAAAGAATAATGCACTTACTCTTTTTGCCCCCCCTTCATGACCTAGCACATCCTACCCCCTGGCCTCCTGTGTTTGTTGTCCTCTCTCTCCTGACCATGCCTGTGCAGTAGAGCCCCATAGAAGTCTAGGGGATTGTCTACCGGTCAGGAGACAAGTAGATGAGCTCCATAGAAGTGTAGAGAGAGCCAAGAGTGAGAGGAGATTGGGCGGCATGCAGAGAATTCACAGCAACGTTGTCACCCTTCTCAGCACTGCATCACCTTGTATACTGTGGAGGAAGATTATCAGCATTGTCAGTACTGTGAACCCTCCCCTCTCCTGCCAATCACAGGAGTGGCATCCAGTGGGGTGCCCTGCATCTTGAGAAAGTGATGCAGAATACCCTTTTAAATCCTGCCTTGGCAGGCCTTTGATTATGTCACAGGGCAAAGAAGAGGATTCCTTCAATTGTGGAGCAGGTCATTAGAATAAAGAGCAGCTTGGCATTTACCTAAACAGCAGGCTTCTTTTAGGAAGTAAAACATATGAAAATAAGTACAAAGCTCCACCTACTGGTTGTAAATGAGAGTAAAAAATATTCATATGCAATATTTTATTATAACTTCGCTAAAATAGCTGAAAAGAACTGAGAAGTCCAGATTGTTTTTTGCATTATTCACTTTTTGACTAGTGAGTCCACCTGAAATGAATGTTGGAAATCAACATTTACAGAAACAAGGAAATAGTCTCAAAAGGTGTGCGGCAGGATGGGTTTTATTTCAGGTTTCACATGAATAATAAAATGATGGACATATAGATATATTTCTTCCTGCACACTATAGAAAGATTGATGAAGACAAATTACCTTGTTCATAGGTTTTGCTATATCCATTACGTTGTGCTAAATTTGCCTTTCAAGCAATAGTATCACATAGACAAATATAGCTAGAGGTGTCATATTAACATTTCATAAAGTGATCTTATTATCGTTTATATCCTGCTTCCTATTCTTGGGATCTTTGACCTGTTCAAGCTATACAGTCTCTTGCAGAATTTTCACATACATTTCCGGGCGTGTCAGATGTCACCATCTCCACTGTGCTGTGGTTCCAACCAGGGGGCCCTATGCCATTACAGGATGCAGAAATGACGTAGAGGCCAGAAGTTATAACCACAGTGCACATTCAGGCACCTGACACACCCAGAAATGTTGGGTGGGAAGGTTCTGCAGGAGGCCGTAGCTGGCCTAGAACAAGTGTCTAGATTAGGAAAGTCAGAGAAAGCCAGAAGTACTTTTGTGCATACCTCTATCAAGAAGCAAGGGGGGTCAGGATAACTGCAAGGCAACTAAAAGAGGTCAGCAACGGCAGCTTCTATGCTTCTCTCATAACAGATTTCCCCTAGAACTCTAGGCAAATAAAAAAAACTTACCCTTACGGTGGGGCTACCCCTACACTGTAACAGTTAAGTGCTTGTTCTGTCAAGGGGACTTTTTGTTAGAAAAACTTTTCTTTGTCATGGCAAAGTTAAAGCTTTTCTAACACATGTAAGGGAATGTGATTATGTGCATGGGTAGGAGGGAGAGACCCAGGACTGAACAACAATGTGGTTGATATCCCAAAGTACCCCTCTGCAAGGAGTCCCCCCCTATTCAATTAGGAGAAATGGTAAGGGCACCACAAAGAAGGTCTCTTGCATGCAGCATCTGGGTCTACATGACAACAGGATCACATCCCAGCACCCACTTGACCCACTTTTGTTGTCAATGAGCCCCTAAATCCCAAAGAACTATTAGTTGCACAGTCTGGGTAAAGCTAGGTTCCCATCTGGGCGATTCCTGACCACGCGGCAATGGTGCACAAAACGGCGCGGATTGCCGGGCGGTCACGGAGTCGCCCACCACAGCTGATCGTGCGGACAGTGCCATTATTTTCTAATGGCACTCCAGTCGCCACCGGCAGATCGCTTGGTTATACCGCCACGATTCTGCCCGTGCAATTGAACACGATTGCTCAGATCTGAACTAAGCCTAATTGGTGTGTCCACCTCTGGCTGAACTATACAATCATTTTCAAAATTGAAAAGCTGAAATTGTTTCTGACCTGCTCAGGGTCACTTACATTTGCAGTTATGATTATACAGCATTTAGATAGAGCCAACAATTTGCATAGCGCGTGTAATCTCTATAGTTGAGTTATAGAAGAATCGCAAAGATGTCTGGTTGCAAAATTGTTCAAGTGGACCTTTCAGTACCTTTACAAGCTTGCATGATTAAACTAGTAGATCTCCAATGCCAACAAAGACTAACATCACTTTTATTTTTTAAGCAGATCAGGTAAAGGCTAGATGCCCTGTCTGCTTTTTTTAATGTCTATGTCACTCTTGCATATTTTCCCTTACTTCAGGTCTGGTGAAATAGTTGTTGCAACAGAAAAAAAGAGGCGTGTCAAATGGCATCCAGCATGGTAGTAAAACACAAACTGAGGTTCTAACCGTTCCCCGCTTTTTTCAAAACAAAGAAATTACATTTTGAAAGGATATACATTTAAATTCAGGGCTAGTTCACGCAGAGTGCGGAGCAGATGCAGAGCAGAGCAGTTACAGACCGCATCAAAAATGCATCCAATGTATTCCAATGGTATTTTGGGCTCTAGTTTACACCAGAGTGTTCAGTTCCAGAGCATGTGGAAAAACGGCAGCATGCCCTATTTTTTCTGCTTGGAATGCAACAAAACGCATCAAAAACGCATGCAAACACCCTGGAACACACTGGAAGCCCATTTTAGGCTAAAAAGACAAAAAACAGCCCGCAACGCGTCAAAAATGCAGCAAAACACACAGCACTGCATGTGCAGAAACTCATGCAGATCTGGTCCGCAATTGGTGTGAACAAGCCCTCAAACTTAAATCCCCTCCCTATATAAACACAATGAAAAATGCTGCTCACTTACAACAGCAGACACCTATCCTCCTTTGTAGAACGCGGGGTGGGGGGTGGAAGGTCACGGTGGTGAGAGTTGTGTTCCTGTAATGCAGCAAGCAAGCAGCTTTGGTAGTCATTGTCTGTGACCTGCCCCCTCCTTACTATGAGTCCATGAGATGGCTAGACTCGCAGACCAACAGTAAAGTAAAGCAATGGCAGAGGGTAATTCAGAAACCTTGGAAGCTGGTTGTTGGCTTTGTTACAAAATGAATCAGGTTTGGGGGCTAACTAGGTCCCCAGGAGAGAGAGAGAAAATCTCACACGTCAGAACCTAGGACTTCTTGCTCTATATGGTGAGTATCAGTTTACATTGTTCGGGGAGTACAGGTATGCTTTAAAATATGGAAATAAATAATAGTGAACATATATGTTGATCTCAGCAGTTACAGTGCCAATCACTATTTCAAACATCCAGAACATCCTTAGAAGTAGCAGTGCCTTAGAGCTGAATTGTTCAATGGAAAAAAATCCTGAGAAAGGGGAACAGAGAAGCAGCTTTCAGTTCAACTGTACTATTATGAAGGTTATCCTTAGCATTTCTTCAGTGTTGCTCATGTCTGCAGAAAACTGGGGGCACATCTAGAGAAAAGTTGTCAAGGGACAGTGGAAGAAAGGAAAAAGGTGAAAGGTTATATCTGCATACTTGCTTGATTATCTGAACAATAGGTCTGTTAAAAATATAGTTCTCTTTTTAAAGTCCATCAAAAAAAGCGGTGTTTTTCTGCAAGCTTAAAAAAGTGTAGCAAATGTATGTCTTCAACACAGAGCACAACATTCCAAGGCCACATTGTAACAAATCTTCAAGCACACAATGATCCCTTTGCTCTTGCTTTCATCATAACCAAACAAAGCTATCTGTTTCCCTCGTCCTCCAGATCCGTAATCAAAATACATTCTTCCACGTTACTTCCCTCTGCTCCAGACTGCATGCAGGTCAAGTCCTGGAAGCCGGCGTCTGTATGGCATTGGTTCTTTTTGAACAGATACAATGCAAGTATGAAGAAACCCAACAGCACAAGTGTCACCATCACAGCAATCGGAACCACGGCATGACTTGTTCCTAGAACAACAAAAGATTCTACGTCATAAGGATATGTCGTTAAGGATAAAAACACGTCATTCTCTCATAAACATTTGTCTGCAAGTCATCTGATTTGTGTATGTAACTAAACTTTGCTAGTTAAAACCAGAAAAAACTATAGACACCACAGAAAACTTATAAACGCGTTGGTGCCTAAGTCCAAAATGCATAAAGTTATTTTTTTTGTTTAGGGCCCATTCACACACTTAGGCTACATTCACACTGGGCATCATGAGACTCCTGCAGCAAGAACCTACAGAATGGTCCCCATTTAGATGCGGCTGCTGTACCCAATGAAGTTAATGACCAGGTGATAGCGGCCGCATCTCTCAGCAGCAGTCCCCATGTAATACATGGTATGAATACATTGAGTTTGGAATACATGACTGTCACTGGACACATCTATCCTGCGTCCAGGGACAATCATCTATCCCAAAACGCATGTAATCTTACATGGTAAGACACGGTGGCTGTCACCCTGTTATTAACTTTAATGGATACAACGGCCACATCTGGGATTCCTGCTGCAAAAATCAAAACTCCTGTCACTGGAAAAAGTACATGAGCTTCTTTTTGGCTCGTTTTGTCCCCATAGAGTCAATAGGAAATGCTTGGAAACACGCATTGCAATTGATTTTGCTCGTTTACGCGTGCTCTTGCCATTTACATCAATGTGTCACAATCTGCGCATAAAAACACGGAAAAACGCTGGTGCCTAGGTGTGAATGGAGCCTAAAGCGCTCTGTTACAGTGTGGAAATACACATGTGTTAATGTGCTTTATGACATATGTTAATGTGTGTTGTTTTAGGGGAGCCCATTTGGGCTGCCAATGGACCATATGGATGGAAAAATGTACGTGACCCTTTTTTGAAAACACAGCATACCACAACACACAGAATATGTGGCACACTGTGGTGTTTTGTGCATTGGGCTCCACTCTCCGATTCGATTGGGTGCCATCCACAATGAACAGCACTGCAATGCTCCTTACAACCATCGCACATGGAAAGTCGTGCGATGGTTGTAAGGTGTATGGCCAGCTTTACGTGTTCTCTAAAGTCAGGTCAATTGCTACACCATTTATCTTTACGGAGGTATTACACTTACGTGATGCTGTGAGATCATCTTCCAATGTTTTGATACCTGTGAAACACAAATAGATATTTATTTGTTTAGATATTATTATATTTTTTTTTTGATCCTTCCTTTCTCTCTTTTTTTACCTAGTAGCTGCCTTTGCCGTTTGTATTCCTTATTTTCTAAATGTTCCCTACTTTTCACTCTCAACTAGATTAACAATAAAGAGGTTAGTAACATTTTTTAAGAAGTTGCGTCTGTGGCTTTTCCCCAGATTTCTGGGTATTTTGACTTATATGTTTTACTTTTTTATTCATCTGGCCCCCGCTCGTCCTTAATCAGTGCTAATTATGCCTATATTTGCCGAATTGGCAACCAGATCCATACATTCTTTGTAGTTCTGGGAGGCCCATGGAGGTCATGGTTCGATTGCTAAGTGTTTGTTTTACCTTTTTTTCTTTGTTTTCTCTTATTGTAATGTCTCTACGTATGTAAAAATATATTAAGTTAAAAAAAAAAAGATATTAAAGTGAAGTTTTGGCTTTGTTGAGAGAAAACAGTCTGCTACAGGTAAACTGAAGATATTGATGCCACCATTTTCCTGAAACTGACTGCTAAGCGGGACAGGCTTCCTTCATTAGCATCACCTTGTCCATTCCTGTATCCTTGTTTTGTAATAACAAATCCTGCCACCCTTGCATCTCTTTACACATACCATGATCGTGAAAAGACCATGGTCAGTGGAAAGAATTACTGTATATAACTGTATATGATTAATATATATACTGATGTGAATGTGCTCTATGTAAAGCGCTATGTAAATTGTTGGCGCCAAAAAAAAATCCCCGTAATAATAATAATAAATATAATGATGGTATTCAGTATTTAAATTGCCTCTTTCTGATGTCGTTAAAGCCTCTGCAGACTTCTGGACCCTGAGAGGACCCAGCCACTGCACAGCCAATAGGAAATGTCCCTATTGCCCAAACAGTGACGTGGACACCCGAAGATGGATTCTCCTCCTCTGCAGGGAAGAAGATAGAAGACTCGAGACCCAGCACATAGTTTATTTATTTTGTAAAGTAGCCACCCTCCAGAATGAAGGACAGTGTCAGCACAAGTTCAGAGATGATTTGAGAATCACAAATAAGATACATTTGATACACAAATAAGATACATTTGTGTTAAAGGGTAACTTCACTTTCCCAGGCAAATTTGGGAAAATGGAATTACCCCCTCCAATGTGGCCCCATCTCCCTCCCGCTTGCTCCCATGATGGACTACAATCTCACATTTAGTTTACTAATTTGTATTGAGATTGTAGTCCACCACAGGAGTGAGCTTGGAGTGGTGACTACATTACAACACAGAAACAGGAACCATACCGCACTCCTTACCGGGATTCCCACTTGATGAAGATGGGTGCTCGAAATGACTGCGGATGGCACTGTCATACATGAACAATAGAAAAATGTCACCAGCACACCATCAGCTGAAAAAGCAAAATATTTTATTGCCAATAGCTGTAGCTCATTGGCAAGTGCTTTCGGGGCCTCGCATCTCTAAGCCTGATGAAGGGGACCCAGCGAGGCCCCAAAAGCGCTTGCCAATGAGATACAGCTATTGGCAATAAAATATTTTGCTTTTTCAGCTGATAGTGTGCTGGTGAAATTTTTCTATTGTACATTACAACACACACACAGGAACCATGGGGAACAAAGGTAGCCACCCTCCAGAAGACACCCTCCAGTGTCAGCACCAATTCAGAGATGATTTGAGGTCCTACAGCCGAGTGATACACAAATAAGATACATTATTGTTAATTATTAAGGAACTTGAATGTATTTTTAAGCTATAAATTCCTGAGTTTAGTGTCACTTTAAAGGTGTGAATAAGTTTCACTATGAAACTCACAATTTCCTGTAACAATCACACAAAACACTTATGAGTAAAGAATCTTCTTTACGAAGAAAGAGACTTACTTGCGTCTTTCTTGCATATAAATCCTCTTCTCTCAGTGCACTCTGTCGGTACCCAAGTACCATCAACCGTCAAAAGTGTGACACACATATCGCCAGTCAAGTCTTTGTATTGTGATAATTCGTTATTCCAATTTGTGTAGTTTAAAGCTGTGCCATCTAACCAAGTCTGTGTGCCGTCTACAAGAAGAACACGTACGCTGTTGAGTTTCATGGCTAAGGCCGCTAACAATGACATGTCAGTTTTGGGTGGGCACTTATAATAATAACAATCACAAGAAGACATCTCATAACTCTCAATGCTTCCATGGTTATTTCCCTTAGGTAGTTTTTGTCTCAGTCTCCACTCATAAGATGTCATTACAGTTGTATTGCTCAATTTATTTGTGTGTTGTCACTTTATGAAGGTGCTATCAAGAAAGCATGACATTGTCGCATTAGCTTCAGCTATTGGCTGTTACAGAGAGAATGGGGGGGTGCATTGGGGTACCTGGGAGATATATGTCAGTTATACCAATTTTATGGGTAAACCCTGTATTTAGTGTTTATTGTTAAATCAAATATTTTATAGTAAAAAACATCTTTAAAGTAATAATAAGCTCAAACTGTTTTCAATAATTAATCCAGAGGAAGCAAATACACATAGCCCAGCAAAGTATTTCTTTACATTTTTTGCCCAAACACTTACAGTCATCATGATCCAAACAGCTGCAACTCTCTCAGCTTGGCTTCCCTGAACTTCCTGTCCAGCACAAGCTCACAAGGGACAGAGCAGTCTCCAACCACTGTCTATCTACTGGGAGGAGGAAGGAGGAGCGAGGAGCAAGGGGGTGGCTTGCCCTACTGTGTCCGTGTGCTTGTAGAGACACACACAGCTGTCTAGCACATACAAGGGTGGCTCCATGGGACCCTGCAAGGGAAAGGAGCCACCCTAAAGCAGAATATCAGGGCCAGTGCTCAGGGGACCAGCTGATTCTGCAGGAAGCTAAAACTTTTAAACATCATGGAGCAGCATCCATTGTGATGCAATCATTTTTTATTTAATTAATTTATTAAAATGGTTTGAAAGCCTCTTGAATTTACTATCAATTTAAAGCTGACCTCCAGCTACAAGAACTTTAAATATATTCCTTAATAGTAACAAAGCATATAAAACCACTTTGTGTGCACCAAATGCCTTAGCAAATGCAGTTAATATGTTGCAGTTATAAATGTAGCAGTGATATCATCAGTGTGCTGTGCATAGCTTGTGCAGATAGCAGAGCTGTGGGAGGGACCCAACAGGCCCCACCCACTACAGGCTGCCTGCAGAAAACTACAGGAGGGGGCCGAGACAAGACCAGCCACCCTGCACAGGGAGAGAAAGTCCAGGAGAGAGGGTGGCCTAGGTATGGTCAATCCGGTTCTTTTCTTTTACCTGCTGTTTCTCAAGTTCAATTTTGGTAATATGCTTGCAGCAGAACCTCCCGGATGGGCAGGCATTTTTAGATCTTGGTTTAGGCCTTTTCTGCGACATTGGGAAGAAGGTGGTCAAGTGAAGAGTCTTAGGGGACATCGTGGTCAGCTCCCAGCCTATGTTGCACCGTGCCTGAAATTGTGGCGGCAGTGGCGATTCTCGGCTGAAGATCTTAAGTCTGCTCCAAGGAAAGTCCTTATGAGCCTTATCTTGAGCGAAGCCTTTCATGACCCACTGGCCTTAAGGGATTGCCCAGGCCCGATTTTGAGGGAAGGGTTAAGATTGATTAATATGGACAGGGTGCCACTTAAATTTAGGGATCTAGCCTGGATGTGCTTCCATGGGAAGCTCTATGTTGGGGGAAATTTGAAACACCGCAGGGAGTCGGAATGTGGTTGTCCTCGAGAGGAGTGTGTGGGTACGGTGGAGACCATGGACCATTTTCTGCTTCATTGCCCCTTTAACATAGAGGTATATAAACAGGTGGGACGGGCCCTCGGTGTTCCTTTCCTCTCTAGGCTGAGTTATGCTGAGTGGGAGTACGGAGCATTCAATGCAGGAGGGTTTTTTTGTTTGGATACACTTTTTTTAGTCAGCCTAGTCGTCCGTTATTTCACGTGGAATGCACGGTGTCAGGTCTCCATTCGGCATAAAATCCTTCCTGTCCAGGTGGTGGTGAGTGACATTCTGCATGCGGTGGGGAAGATTCGGGTGCTTGAGAGAGACAAATGGAGGCAGGGGGCTTGGTTGAAGGCGTGGAGGGGTATCAGACGTCCCTGACCCACAAGAGTGTCTGTCCGGGTGTGTGGCTGTCTGTCTCTTATCACCCTAAATTTTTGTTCTTTAAGATTTTTGAAAAATGGCTGCGTGCATAGGTGACGGGTTGTGCCTTTTAGGCCTTCTCTGCTGCTTCATGTAAATAGTTGGGGGATCTTTAAGCATGAGGCTGTTTATGCAGCAATGAGGCTTTGCCTGTCTGTATATATATGTATAACATTGAGGAGTACTGAATATTTGTGTTTGATTTCTGTTCAGTTAATATTATGTTTATGTTTTGTTACTTTTTTATATAAGCGTTGCTTGAGTCTTTTAATGAAAAGATTAGCAGCAGTGACCGGTCCTTATGACAAGAAACTCCTGCACAGAGGCAAAGTTTCACACTGAGCTGGAAGAAATACACAAAACACACCAAGATTTAGGTATGAATACACATGCCTCTTGTATTCAGACAATATTTGCTTATTCCAGAGACCAGCTTCAAAAAATGTTTTAATAAAATCGGGATGTCTCATATTATGCTCTAATACCAGCGTAACTTGAAACATGGTCAGAAAGGTAAATTTAGCCTTTTAATGGTTTTTACTCTTCAAAATAGTTTACTTACCATTGCTAGACACTATTCTGTTTAACCAGATGTCTTGTACGGTAAAGGAACTGAGAAGTCTCTGAAGAAATATATCTTCCTCTTCATGCATTACACTCAGGATTCTAGAATCTAGACACGAAACAGTCACAAAACACAGAAATATGTTCGTTTGTTCAGCCGGTTATCAGTTTCCTGCTTTCCTAACGGCTAATCTCATCAGGCTTGAAACAAAGACAATTTATCTAACTAAAAAAAAACAGAGCAGATACAGCAATGTCCCATAATGTAACACGTCAATATGGAACAACATTTTTACAAAGGTTTTGGCATAATGTTAAAAAAAAAAATACCAGGAAATAAGGCATTAATAGCAAGCAAAAATAGCCGTGTTTCTTCTCACGATAGATTAGTGATAAGAGCTGTGGCATTGAGAACAATGGCCAGCTACGAACGCCTAAGGACACAGAAATGTCCAGAATAAAGCAACAATGGTGTGTTATCTATTAAAGGGAAAGTAAAGGTGTAGTGGCATTTAGCAGATATGTTTAGTTATTTTAAAGTCTAATTGTAGTTTCAGTCCATAAATGGCCGCACACCACAGGTCTTGAAATATAAAAGTCCAATCTTTATTGTGATCCAAAAATATGTATACACCACAATCAAGTTTCCCAGCACAAGGGGAACCTTCTAAAGCGTTTCACCGATGAGATGTAAACATAGGTCAAGCAAAACAGAAACGCACTCATCTACCTCCGCATGTATCAATTGCCCCTCCCTTTTAGATTGTAAGCCCTCAGGGGCAGGGCCCTCCTTATCATCTTGTCTTGAATTGTATTGTGATTGTAATGTCTTCATTATATTGTAAAGCGCTGCGCAAACTGCTGGCGCTATATAAATCCTGTATAATAATAATCAACTCATAACCAGCTTTAAAGCAAGGTGCACATGGAAGGGCTTTAAACAGTGCAAAAAAAGTTTCCCAGCACACTCATAAAAACAGAGGTTTTATATGCACATCTTTGCTTGTCTGATTTGGTGCAGTGACACACTGGGGGTCTTAGCTGCCGTTGTGATGTGCAGGGTCTCTGGTGTGTCCCTGTGCCTTCAAGGAGGTTGGGCTGCCTCCTGGCAAACCTGCACCCAATTTATCTTTTGCTACATGTGCTCCAAGATGGAGACTCTTTGTCAGGAAGCGGATCTGAACCCAGGGCCTCTGCTGTGGCTGGCGGTGGTTCTACCTGCTGAGCCACCTTAGAACCTTGGATAGCTCCTTGTCTGATGTCCTGTGTAATCCTCAGTTATACCTAATCTCTGCTGAACTCTGAACTCCATGCTCCTCCCTTGAACTTCCTATTTAAGCCATGCCCCTGCACTTCCTGTTTGCCAGATTAATGTGCTCCTGCCATTATCTTGCTTCCTGCTCACTTTGTGCTACAATCTACTCATGCTGCTTCCCGTGTACCGACCTTTGGCTGCTGATTCACCGACTACTCTCACCGTCTACATACCTGATAGCTTTGGCTCCTGACCTAGGCTTGTTCGCTGACTGTGCTTCTGCCTACTCCTCCACTACTTCCCTCTGCTTGTGTACCAAACCCGGCCTGTTATACTACGAATTGCCTGCTGCTTCAGCTGCTGGACTCTGAGCCTGATCACAGATCGTGACACTCTCATAAGTTAGAGTTAGGACCGCACTACACAGAGGGGCCTTGACAAGCAGTGCGGCTTTCACATATTCTGCAGAAAACGTGTATCTAAAACCTCTGTTTTTAACTTTAGCGGTTAGACGACAGGTTTTTTGCATGCTGGCTGGTGAGTGTGCTGGGAAACTGTTTGCTGTTGTAATCATCTGTTAAACGCATTAGCTGGTTCTGCTTGTGCTGGGGAGCTTGATTGTGGTGTATACATATTTTTGGATCACAATAAAGATTGGAGTTATATATTTCAAGACTTGTGGTAGGGGGCCGTTTATGGACTGGATCGGGTGATGGTGCACCATTCAGGCTGAACCTGCAGGATCTGTGTAGCATGGACACAGCCGGAGAATCGGTGAGACCTTTTTTGATTCTAATTGTAGTTTGCTACAGTTAAAAAACAGCTACATTGAGGGTTCATTAATAAGAGATATGTCTTAAATATCTTACCAGTTAAATTGTAGTTGATCCGCAGGGGCTGTAGGAAACCTCAGCCAGGTACAAGGCTGCAGAGAAGGACTGCTGCTCTGTGTAGAAGCAGTGGTCCCTCTGTAGCGGTCCCAGATTGTGAGCTTTACTGATTGGAAAGCTGCAGCTCTTATTCAGTAATAGGTGGGTTGGACAGCCACAGAGAGACTACAAAGAGAACACCATGGGTTTGACAGCTATAAGCTTGCTGATCAGTGGGGACTACACTGATCGTCACACCCCCTATGACATCATCTCACCCTGCTGTAGTGCAAGTGGGCACAGCAAATCCAAGGGTGATGATACAGTCCTAGATTGAACAACAGTAATACAGTATTGTCGTCCTTATAAATAAAGTGGAAGAGCAATGGTTTGGCTGGCCAGTCAATAGGTATGTTTGGCTCTTTACGTAGGTAATAGATGCAGACTAATAGAACATTAATGAGTTGAGCTGTTGGGCCAGAGGAGCCTGATCTGTGAAGCTGAGAGACTACTTCTGCATCAGGTCCGCTTCCCCTTAGATTGACAGCGTATAGCAGTTGACTGTCTAGAGGCTATGGAACCTGCTCATTACTGTATGCTTTCAATCACAAGAAAGGGGGACCTAATGGGGAACTGGTCTCCCAGCATCAAGTATGTTACAGCCCTTCCGTGCCGCCCCAATAGGGGCATAGAATATGAGATGCATAGCCTCAGTTAATATTAGCATTGTTATATAGGTTAGTATTTATATAGTGTGATTTGCCTAACTATTTTCTCATAGCTAAATCCATGTGTTATCCTATGCTGCCATCTAGTGGCCTTTTGTTGTAACAAACATGCTTTCTGTAATTATTCCTCATGTGACGATGTATTTCCCCCTAGTGTACGCCCCTTCCTGCTTCCTGTGTGCAGTACTTCCTGTGTCATGGCACAGCTACTAGCCACATGTAACAAGGACACACATGTAATCTGCACAGTACGTAGGAAAGGCATCATTTTCTGACCGCACAATACTATAACCGTTCAACTGCTGTTCCTATCATCTGCTGTAACCTGATGTTAAAGAATAAACACCTCTTTTGAATGAATCGGTATTGACGAGTTCAGCTATCTGACGAGGATTGTCCGCAGTGAGTATATCTGCTTATACAGGCCAGGCATAGAGGTCTCAGCAAGGGATATATTTCGCTATCACAACGATCGGAGTCAGAATACCTTCTCTGCAGCATATGCCGGGGCTGATGTTTTCCTCTGTTAAAGGGGATCAATACTTAATTAAGAGTAACATACAGGCATATTGTATGTAAACAATACAAATTATTGCAGCTCTGTATTCATCACTGGATGTGTTTTTTTTAATGCAAGAAGTATTTATACCTGAGTTTGATTTGGTATCAGCTATTTGTAATCCCTGCAAAGCAGAGCTCAAACTAGAGGAGAGAGAAGCAGAAGAAAAAGCCAACCAGTTGTGCTTGAGTGCAAGGTGCATGCTAATAGGAGGAGGTAGCAGAGAGACAGGGAAATGAGCTCAGCAGTCTTTAACTATCCATTCACAAGATGGGTATAGCAACAAGACCTGTTAGTGCTACTTACCTGCAGCTGAGCAAAATCAGGCCTCCTGCTCTGCCATACAGGGCTACGCGGTGTGTCAAAGCTGTAAATCTCGACTGGGTGGACAGAAATACAAATACTTTGGAAGGTAAAACAGCTGTGTGTTTGCTTGAAGTTCAGCTTTTAACTAGCAAGACATTTACCATATACATTCTCTAGGACCCTCAATATATGTGTATTGTCTCTTTATAGCAAACTACAATTGGGATTTCATTTTTGACGTGACTGACATATTTGACACACTTGCTCTATTTAGTTATTGTATTACATTTTAGGATTCTGAATATTAACCATATGAGGGTACTTTATATTTGACTCTCTTGATGAATGTATTGGCTGTTGTTATCCCTGAAAAGAGCCGGCGCACGCAGAGCTTCTCTCCCATCTCCATAAACACAAATATACAAATCAATCGTGCACAAACTTGCTTTTAGGGATTTGCCCCTGAGGATGCTACTGGTAGTTCAGTGTCCAGATCATTTGTAGATGGGAAATCATCATCTAATGTTTGCTAACGTTTAATGATGTTAAAGCATCATTCTCACTAGTTTACCTTGTTTCTGGCAAATCCCCTCCGCAGTGTGGTAATCTGTGTTGTTTAAAACAGCTGCAAAAGTGTAGCAAACTTCTTGGAACTGTATCCAATCTTCTGTACAGCTGCCAATAAATTCTGTGGTTCTGTTTTCTGAAAATAAAACATTTGATAATATGAAATAGGTTGCCAAGAACAATTTACACAAAGTGGACCCTTGCTGCAAACATATAAAAACAGCAGTTCAGTCCCCATATGCCTGTCTCTGTGCTAGGGTGGGGTGAGGTCAGGCAGAGGCAACCAGTCACTGTCTTTGGCTCACACAAAACCCACCAACACAAAACCCACCAACACAAAACCCACCCTTGGCCATGGCTTTTAGGTAAAGGTGGCAATGAGGTAGCGGTGGCTGCATTCTGGGGAACCCCACTACCAGAGAAGGCAATCATTTGGTACTTTGGTGAATCTAAAGGCAATTTATGGGTAATTTATGATATTGGTTATCTTCAAAATTTTTACACTCCCTGTCCATAAAAACTCTGTCCTACACTGGTTTATAGTGGTTGGACTGCAAGGAATTGGCTACCGGTAAGGCACCTGCATAAAAGATTAATATATTTGTTAACAAGTCAGCACTGGAAAAAAAAGTGACCCAGCAATCTCTTACATTATTTTTGGGTCATATGAATTTACCATATTGTTGGATACAAACTTTTGGGGCACATGAAAGATCCATTAGATGACAGCCAAAATAAGAGGGTAATAACAAAAAAAAGTGTACGTTTTTGGTCCTCTATAAAACTAATGATTTACCCTTAACGGCTTAACCCTTGGCTCTAAACCTGAAATTAATGGCAAAATGTTTCACTCTAATCCAAAAGTCAACCTAGCCCATTCCTTATGCCTAACATTTTTCCTTTACGTGAAGCAAGCCCAAAACCTAAGCTCTAAACTTAATATAACCCCAATACCCTAAACCTAATAAATATTATGGCACTTTCTGGTTCGACTTTCTCCTGTCCCGCATACATTCCTATTAGCCTATAACTAATATGGGCTGCATCACTTGTCAATAGAAATGTCTTAAAGGCCGAGGGAAAACAGGCAAGTATCAACGCCACCAGGAAGTGCTGATGTCTGGTCCAATCAGAATGGCCCAACATTCAGGTGAAGTGGGGTCAGAGAACGGGAAGTAGAAGAAAGGTGTGGGAAAACAGATTTCTTAAAGCAGTTGGTATTTTCTGTCAGGTCCTAAGCAGTGTAGAAGGAAGGATTACCCTTAGGCAGCTCCCCCCAGGAGTGGTAGCTGAAGGATGGCTCTTTGATCGAGTGGGGATTGCATGTAAAGGAGGAAAGCGTAAAAGCAGAATATATAAAGTCCAGATTTATTTTATCCAGTGCTTGACCAGCATATAGAGATATACCAATTCCTCCTCAGGACCCCTTCGGTTTTACCTGACCAGTACACACTTCATTCAACAGTACCAATTGCTGATGAATTGGGACCCTTTCAACACCTGAAACGTGTTAACACAAGAGTTTAAATGAAATTAAATCTGGACTTTATAAGTTGTGCTTTTGGCATTTTTCCTTCTTGCAAACTAAGCCCCTGAATTTTATACCTCTCAACATAACAGCAGGGTCATACAATTAAACTACACCTTCACAGCCAAGGAAGATGCCATCTTACCCTCTATATGGATTGCAGTTGCCATGGTGCTGCACATGTGATCAGCATTGACACCAGCCCCAGATAGAACAGAATAGTGGGTGGCAACAGAATAACTATGTCCATACCTGTGCTGACAAGACATATTGCACCCTGCAGTTCCATATTACAGTCCATAGCTCTCCAGTGTCCGGCAGTGTCAATATATGCACAGTTACCATCTTGTGATGGAGACTCATCTGCCCATGATGTAAACCACGACATAGAACCATCTATCCATTCAAAATCTTTGCCTCCCTGTTGATACAAAGATTTCATAGCATAATCTACATAAAAGAGATCTACCAATATTGTGAAAACATAAAAAAAGAGTCAAACATTATAATATAGAGACAGCTATAAAATTTAACAGAGGAAAAGACAGTTTGTTCCCACCTTTTCTCAATATTGTCATGAGTATAGTGATTTTGTTATGATTATATAAAAGAATATTCCTGTTTTCTTTGATAATCAGAAAGTCCTGAAAGAGTTATCAGGGGGTTGCAGTCATGTCACAAACCTTTATTCTTTTTTTTTTTTGTAAATTCTTTATTTAAAGAGGTATTTTTTTTTTTTTCTTCCATGAGATATACAAACCTTTATTCTTAACACATATAATCACCTCATCACTGTGCATTCTTGGTTTAAAACTATTCAAACTATGAACTAGCCCATAGCAAGCAATTAGGTTTCAGATCATCACTAACTGGCTGCTTCAGGGTACTGCATTTTATCACTGCTTATGGTGCTGATTTATCCCACAGGATGGATCCTACAGTATTTCCTCACCATAGCTTACAAACGCTAAGTCCAAAGGTTGTTAGGAGGTTTTAAAGTAGAACTGCGGTCAAAACAATGAACATTCATATTTCCATATTCTTAACAAGTAATAAATGTTCTCCAGCCCCAATGGTCTCTACAGCTACAGGCAGTATTGAGTAATTCATCCTCAAAGTTCACAAGAGATGCAGTTAATTCTTCCAAATGGGGTCTTGGAAATAGGATCTTCTCTCTCCCTGTCCACCTGCTCTATCTCCATGTTTACAGTAGACATTAGAAGGCTAGAAGATTGCTGATTCACTGCCAGGAGAGGGGAAGCAGGATGAATTTACCTGCAGAGATGAAAGTGAAAATTCTTCTGCATAAACTAATTACTCCACAGTACCTGCAACTACTGAAGCCAAGAATGGCTTATTTTACAGCTTCTTTACTGCTCGTTAAGGATATGCAATGCAGTTATTTGAAGGCTCATAGCTTTGTCACAGGTCTACTTTAAAGGGAGACATTTCTAGATGAGGGTCAGGTAAATTTAAAAATGTGCAATCCTGTAAGAAAAGTCTGATGCATTCCAGATGATCAGTGCAGGTTCGAGTACATACACACACTATTGCCCATGGTCCTGTGAATAGAATTGCAGGCAAGAGCACATGAGCGTGAAGGCATGCATTGGCATCAGCATGCACGGCAAACTGCCTATATAAAACGGGCATGTCATATGGATCTAGTCCAGGACCTGATCTGGTATTCCACTTAGCTATAAAGGATCCGGCCTGCCTTCTGACTTCAATCTGGATTTCAGCCTGCCTGTTGTGACCTTAGCCTGCCTACTGGACTCTGAATTCTGCCTTCTGCTATGTACCTGCCTGACTGGCTGTTACCGACCTCGGCTTGTGACCCAGATTTAGCTCCTGGTTCCTGATTTGGTACTCCATTGCGTGTCTGTTACTGACTTCAGTTTACGATCCCCACTCTTCTCCTGGTTCCTGATTTGGTTCTCCTCCGCTTGGCATTTACCAGCCTTCACATGTGCTCCAGCTATGCTCTTGTCCTCTAGTACCCTGGCATTGTGTCCTGGTCCTGCAGTCTATAGTCATCCAGTCAACAACACCCGACCTCCAGCACTCTTGCCACTTTGCGTGCCCTTACTTCCTGACATCACTTCCAGGGATGTCATACGAGAGGTGCGAGAGAAGTCCTCTCATCAGCTTGGTCATGACCTAGGTACATGACAAATCCATATACCTTCAACTGTAAAGGTCTTGTCTTAGGACAATTTCATCCTCTGCACACCCCTGTGTAGCAAGATGGTTGGGGCTGACAATTAATTCCGGTCAGCTGTGAGAGATGCAAAGAGTATAGAAGGGTTCTAGGACCTGACATGCTGCTGTAGACCTTTGCATAGGGGCATCGACATAAACATAGAGTTATTATGGCACTCATCCACCCTCTGCACACATCTCTGAAGCTGCCCAGATATCTGGGAAATTCCCAAAGATATCACCAAAGCTTATATACAATTCTCATCAGCTGCAGAATGGCAGTGATAACGTTATAATGTGCCAGGACCCGCATTTTGTAGCTGAAGATTGCAGGCACTATGGTAAGAATAGATAATGTTTAATTACACTCACCTCAACCCCATTTTGCAATCTTAGGTGTGTATTTATCAACCAATGAACGGCTGAGTCACACATCATTTGTTGCTTTTTCACCAATGGGCACACTCCTTACCTCTATAGGGTTAGATTGGGCTGAAAGCACACCCAATCAAGTTAATTTTGTACCATTGAGCAAACATCTGTATTTCTTATTATTCTATACAGATCCAGTTCTCAGTATGCCAAAGCAAATGTTATATTTGCTGGACATGATTCCAACATTTGCCATTGTACATGGACACATCCTGATTAGCCAAACTCTTCCATTGTCACACAACTAAAATATTTATTTGCATACACTTCCGGCATTGCAAGCGCACTTTATATCCAGGCACATTCTTAATAACAATATTTATTTAGATCTGAGCCCACGTAACAGTGTGTTCTCAAATACAAGTATTGAATGTATTTAATACAGTAACACCTACCATTTCTTTATAAAGTCCAATCCAGTTGGAATATCCTTTGCGGTGGACAATGACAGTTGCGAAGGCTTGGTGATATTCATCAGTAATGGTAACTAAATCAGCCCCATATCCCTTGCAAACAAAGGAGGCATCATACCAGGTCATGTTTCCAGATATTACTCTGTACAATTTATCTCCATAGGGCAATACTTCAGGTATTGGGAACACGTCAGAACCATTTGCAGTGTGACCCGAAACATCTATTATAGGAAGAATAAACACTTGATTTTTAGGACTTACCAATCAGTTTGCTTTATGTTCTGACTGCAATGTCTACAGTGATGGGTGCAGGAGTTTACTGTTTGTATACTGTTTGTTTGCTAGGTTGGACATCATCTCTCTGCCCTGGTGTTGTCATGACATGACAAATAAGGCCTCTCCAAATGGTGGAAAACTGCAAAGGACATCCTCATCTCATGGCAGGACATTAAAAAGCCTCCCAAATGCAGAAATAATATAAAGAGTCACCTTGATTCCATCCATGACTTGGTGGTGGTAGCTCTGGTCTAGTGGACCTTATGGGCCTGAAAGTGACTATACCCCTCTGTGTACTAATAAGCTTAATAAGCTATTGAGCACATTGTATTTTATAGTTAATAACCTACATATCACAGTTCCCTTCTGGGGAAGAGAACCTTCCTTTTTTGCATATAAACATTTTATTCTATGGGTCCTTGGTCAGGTCACGTGGCATCATGGATGTTCCTTTATCTTTGGGCAGTGCTGATTGCTCCAGAGAACAGCTTTGTTTTGTCATCGCAGAGCAGGTTGATGACGTATCCCCAGGGAGCGGGTCCTTAAAACCCTTGTCTTGCAGAACCCTTGTCTTGGGATGACGTATCCCCAGGGAGTGGGTCCTTAAATCCCTTGTCTTGCAGGAAGCCAGGCAGCGTCTCATTACCCGCCACCCAGCTTACTGCAGCTTACTGATTGGCCAGGGAAGCCGGCTCCATGCTGTTTGGCTGGATCAATGCTGATTGGCCAGAAGCTGGCTTCCCAGCCAATCAGCATTGAGCCAGCCAAACAGCATTAAGCCGGCTACCTGGCCATTAGGAAGCTGGGCATTGAATCATTACCCGTTGTCCGGCTTCCTGATTGGCTGGGAAGCTGGCTCCATGTTCCCTTGTGGCACTGCTGGTGAGAGGAAATCTCCCTCTGATCAGAAGTTCCGGTACAGGGAAGGTATCGGAGCATTTGGGCGAGTACGAGTACTCGCCCAAATACTCATTATCTGCACCTATACTAGTAACAGTATCGGTGCGTCCCTTATTCAACCAGAAAGAGAAGAGGTGCTGGACCATGGAGCAGTGAGTCTGAGGCGGTAGGGTAACAATAGCCATAGCAGCCCACGTGGCTGCTATGGGGCCTGGGGTAGATGGGGGGGTCTATTAAGGGTGCTGATTAGGAAAACTAAACTATGAAGTTTCATTGAAGGGCTGGTCAGTCCTCAGGATCCTGTAGTCATAGGTCCCCCTCTGTGCAGTGAGAAGCATTTGCTTATCTATCTTCATATGGAAATTATCCTCCTATGCCCAACGTAATCCCAGAGTTTCACCTCTGTTAAATCCTTATAGGAGGGCTAAGGTTTGTGAATCTACAAAAAAGTTTAATAAAGTTTGTACTAGAGTTGAAGAGTAAGTGTGTGCAAGAGCATCAATCATTTTATCATAATTTAAAATGTCATTATGGTTATTATTATTAGTGCAACTATAACTTTTACCCCCAGCACTGCTTCCCATTAGTGTACTGACTATGCTGACAGCTCGCCTGCTGCCTGTCTTTGATACATAATTCATGTTAAGATCAATGACTTGTATTGTCACAGTTGACAATGCTAGCTGCTACAGAGAGAGCTAGGGGGCCCCAAGGTTTTACTACAGGGCTCCATGGTTCGTAGTTATGCCCCTGGTTTGAGCAGAACACCACCAAAAACTAGTTGAGTATTGCAACTTTTTTGTGTTTAATAAGTGCTGGGCAACAGATTGTTTTCAATCTTATTTTAAACTGTTGTTAAGCTTAGAAATTAGGTGTAGGGATGCTGAACATTTTGCCTTTTGATGCAGAGATGGCTACAGTGCTACTTAGCTTGCACCTCCTGAGTCACCTAAACAATACTTGAGTAAGGCTTATGAAAACATTAAATCATTATTAGCTGCAACTCAGTGACTCTGTAAGGCATTACCTTGCATTCGCTCACAAATGAATCCATAGCCTTCGTGACCACAGTTTTCAAGATGCCATTTCCCTACAGGAAAAACATTGTGGTTGGCAGATATTGCAGCACATTGGTGATCCTGAATGTCTTCTGAGCTCTAGGACAACCGACAATATTACAATGGGTTACATTTAAATAGAAACATTGTTAAACCATAGTTATTGATATTTGCTTTAAAAGAGAAAATATGTGGCTAAAGAGTAGAAAATATGGCAAGTGGGGAGTAGGGGAAACCATTTTCATTAAACAACATTCAACCATTCAACACAAAAAGGTGAGCAGTACTGTTGGAAATGATCCCATGGCATCCAAAGAGCTATTTGGGTATTGTTACTGGCCAATAAACAATAATTTAAAGCCTAACTGTACATTTACCAAAGACTAAACAGTTAAAATCAGGGTGCTTAAAATAGTAAACTTGCAGTCTCACTTTACTTTGCTTGATTTGTAAGGGTTTGTAAGCCAAGCTTGATTGGCTTACAAACCCTGTCCGGTGGGAGGACAAAGTCTGTTGCACAGGCACAGAGAAGACCACTGCACTCTCTGTAAGAGCAGTGGTCCCCCCACAGCAGTCTGAAATCTCCCCATTGAGTTAAAGTTAGAGTTAGGCAATCAGAAAAACTCAGGCTCCATGGTGCTTGGAGAGCTCTAGCTGTGACTTAGCAGGGGGGCGTGTTGGACTGCTGCAGAGAGACTGCTGATCCTTCAAAGAGTGCAGGGTTCCCTCTGTAGCCTGCTGCCCGTGCACTATTTTCAGCGCCCTGAGTGTAACTGTTGGGTGTTTGTTAAAATTACAGTTTGACTTCAAAAGATTTTACTAGAGTTTTTTGGGGTAAAGGAAACAATGGTTGCCATGGATATCGTTCATAAGATTAACACAGCGTCATTGTTGCTTGTTCTGTATTTTTCCTATAAGAAGAAACAAAGCTGAATGTAAAGTAGGCAGTTCGTTCTTGGTGCCAGGCGGGAGGTCATCATTTATTTGTATGAACTATTACACGCCTGGCATCTCCTTATGTGGAAAACTTTTCTTCGGAAGATGAGATCCCATTACGGTAAATCTTTCCAATACACTCCTATACATAATGGAATTACTTTTAAGAGGCCCGACATGTTCAAAAGTTTTACTGCATTTGGACTGTGTTCCTCTTTAAAGGGTTGCCAAGAGTCATTATTCATACAAAGGGCTTTTTGCGTGGTGCTGAGATTGCGGAAGTGAGCCAAACATAGTAAAAGATGAGGATTCTGGGAAATTCTCGCTACGTATCCACATGGTGCTTTTATAGAGCATTAAAAAAGGAATTAAACTTTGGCAGTAATTAAAAATTATGTATGACTAGGGATTAAAGACATTATAAATAACCAAAACACAAAATGCAGTCATGTTTGGAATTAAATTATTTAATTGTTTACCAAACAAGAGTTATTTTTTTTAAATTAAAAGGGAAAACAAAACATTGATATGGTACAAGTAAAATGTAACTCAATTTTGTCATTGATCTGTGCTAACAATAATGTCAGTTTCCCTTGTTCCTAGCTAAATGGAAGTATGCATCAGTAGGCATCAGTGTATCTACCGAATATTACATTCCACTTACTTTATATTTCAGTTATGCAAATATGTGTTATTATTAAAGGCTTGCTACATTTAAAACTGATAGCTCACTTTTGGATTATAATCAATGGGTGTAGTTATCTGCTGGCTTATTATATCTATAGGCATCTTCACTTGTGAGATTTATTCATAGCAAAACCATCCATTTCTCAAAGAGGGACTTCTAAATGAATTTATTCTACACTTTAGATAATCTACCAGGAGCTTGTGACATCATTATTTGCCTTTTTAATGACCATGACCATTGGGTATGACTGGGAATGCCTTGAAAAATATAATATGCTGGCATATGACTGAGGGTGATTGTCACTGGATGCATCTATCCTGTGTCTAGTGACAATCATCTATCCCAAACTACATGTAATCGTACCATGTAGGTCGCTGACAGATGTGGCCGCTGACAGATGTGGCCGCCGTCACCCAGTCATTACCTTCAGTGGGTACAGCGGCTGCATCTGAACCGGGACACCTGGGACACCCACCGGAATAATCTGTAGGTTCGTACTGCAGGCATCTCAGGTCGCAGCTTGTGAATGTCGCCTAAGGCTGCTAACAATCATGCAAAAATAAGAATACAGTACTTGTTTTTCCCATAGAATGGATGTTTAAATCAGACACATTATCTATCATTCAGCCGCTTTTACTTACGTGGTTTGTTTTGATTGGAAACCAATTTGTGTATGTGTCTGAAGTGCCATTTTCCCAAACATCATAATCATCTCTGCTGAGTCCAATCCAAAAACTGTTCTTCTGTTTAAACAGCTGCATAACTATAAATGCTACAACAAAGAACAAACCGCCTCATTCATCAAAGTGTCTGAAAAAAGAACAGTCTATGTTGTCCCAGTCAACCATATTCAAACCCGCACTTTAATCCAACAGTGGAATAATGAAAATTGTTGAGGGGCAATATAGACAACTGTTTTTTTTCAGACACTTCAATGAATAAGGCCCAAAGTCATATTAGCAATGAACTAGGGTACTGGTACAGATCTGAACAGAGTCTCACATACCATATAACAGCTTTAAAGGCTTCTGGAGTATATATTTCATGATGGGGTTTTTTAAGGACCACTATTACACATATAAATTATATAAAAAATGAATAAATCAGCGTTGTAAGCATCATGCTCCCTATTAAGTCCTCATGACCCATGCTGTGAGAATGGTAATAACTGTTTTGTGTTGGTAGTTCTCAGATCATGCTGCTAAACTGACAAATTGATCATAGACTTATAGTCAAGTCAACTAATGCATACTGACACTGTTAAATTTGATCTGGACATCCATGCTTCAATGACCTCTGGTCACAAAAGGGTTGAATATAGTGCTAAGTTTGTTGCTTTACTTTTTCTGCATGCACTTCTCATAGGTATATTAAAGCTAAAACCCAGTGTTGTCTCCACCTACACTCTCACTTCCTAGGTTTTTGTGGATTGGCAGGAGGGTTTTTTATTTTGCAGAGCCACGAATCGGACTGGTGCAAAATGCGCAGTAGATAGTTTTCCGCTTTCTTTGGCAACATAGCAGGTACCATTTAATTCAGGCGTAAGAGCTATATAATCCCTGCTGGCTGGCAGATTAATCCACTCAGGCTGCAATTAAACTTGCTGATCGACATCACTGCAACAGCCAGATGTGGGACCAATGGTAAAGTAAGTAACCACAGAAACCATACCTACATGTTTTTGGACAATTCAAAAAAAATCTAGACAATACTATATGCTTAAAGCAAACCTGTGTGCTCCTCTAAAGGAGTAAAGTGATAACACTATTTAGCGTTTGACCTAACTTTTGCTTCTCCAGCTGCCTATCTCCACTTTCATGAAATATAAAATTAGATTAGACATACACCACTCAACGGAACAATGTCTGGGGCATGAATAACCTATTGGCAGGCCCGGACATTATTACTTGAGTGGGAGAAGTAATGCTCATGCAATTGGTGAATTTTAGAAGGTCAGCGATGGGGGAGAAGAAGCTGCATCAGGTACCTGCTAAAAGCAATATGGTACTGTCACTTTGGACACTAGAAGAGAACAGGTTCACTTTAATTTATATACAATTATTTAAAACAACATATATAACATATACCTTGTTCTAGATGATTTGAAATGGTAGACAGGTAACCACCATGTTCCTTGCAATTGTTAGCAGCAGATTGCCAATTCACTTTTTGTCCATCTTCATTTTTGTGTACAAAGTAACACTAAATGTTGATAATGAAAAAAAGACATTAACATCCTAGCAGGAAAACACAGATAATTTTTTTTAACATAATTTGAGTGTTGGATTTTTAGCTGCGTAATGCTCAGTTTATTGCAGGAAAAAAACATTCTGTTTGTTTTCATAAACAAATCTTATTATAAGTGATAGCACAATTTTCCTTGTGATAAACCTTTCTGTTAAGATAATTATTAGGTTTAGAGTTATGGGATTAGGTTGAGGTTAATGGTTAGCTAGTTTAGAGGTAGCTTCAGGATAAAGTGGATCTCAAAAAGTGATGATTTGCTATCTTATAAGGAACATCTAAAATATCCTGAATAATTTACCTACTTTAATTTGAAAGCCTCCTTAAAAATAGTGGTGCAATTCCTTTTCCTAGGCACTGCTGTGCTTTGAGACTCATATTGTGAGGTCATCTAAGGCACTGTGCTAAAGGACTGCTAGCTTCAGGAGATCTGGAGTGAAAGTTGGGGATATTACTACTGTATGGGTCACTGTTCTCCTTGCTGGAGAGGAAGTTATACCTGAGGACCAGCAGCGCAAACATTTGCCTGCTTCTGCTTTAATCCATTCTGTGGAGCTGTTTTTCCTCCACATCTCCTGCTGCTTTTTGATGATATCCTCTGCCAGTCATCAGTTTAACCAGTCATTAGGAAGGGGGCAGGTGGCTTTAGGTACAGCTCTGACATGAAGAAGCAAAACCATTCCTCTGGCCACCTCCACACAGAGACATAGTGCAGAACAAGTCATGGTAAGTCAGTAATCGGGAAAAGATCGGTTGCATGATGCCTAGAGGAAATACTGGTGACCAGTGGCGTAACAATCGACATAGCGACCCAGGCGCCCGCTATGGGGCCCGGGCACAGGGAGGCCCGGCCAGGGTCGCTATGGAATGTGGGGGTGCTGGCTGTCACAGACACAGCTCAGCAGCGGCCACGTCGCATTTCCCCTCATAGCCGCTGCAGAGCTGTGTCAGTGACAGCCAGCCGCTGCGGCAGATGAGGGCGGTGTTTGGAATGGAGGAGGCGGGGCCCGCTTCCTCTTTCATCATTGGCCAGCGACCTAAGAGCAGGTGGGGTCAGTGATGTAAGAGAAGGCGGGGCCCGTCGATAGCAGAGGAGGCGGGGCCCGGGGACGGAACAGGAGTCGGGGCCCGGCGACCACAGAGGCGCTGACAGGTAAGAGATCTCAGACCCTGCAGAGCCCACTACAGAGAGTCTATGGTGGGCTCTGAAGGGTCACTCTCCACTGGGGCTCTGCAAGTGGCATAACTAGCAATCACAAGGCCCCATACACAATTTTGCTATGGGGCCCTGTGATTTCTAGTTACGCCCCTGCTGGTGACTATTTCTATGCCCCTGCTTGCATTTCTTCAGGTCCATAGTAAAGATTTGTGGTATGAGATAGTGTTGGGTTTAGTGTTTGCAATAAATTCAAGCCAGTTTTCACCTTTTGTAAGTGATTAGCACTTATTGTGGTAGTGTAAAGGCTCAGTGATGATGTATATGTGTGTACATTTTCATGACTCACATTGCTGGCTTTTTTCATTTTTTATGGACCTTTTAGTAGGCCTGAGTCCCACAAAATGAAGCTCATTCTGACACTGGAGTTGTGTTGTAAAGCAGCTGACCCCCTCCCTGTGAGTCATTGTAACAAAATCCCTGTAAATCAGCTCTCTCAAGACAAAGTCACTGCGCTACGATGCAACCCAAAGGTCTAAACATTGAATTGGATTTAAACTGTTTTATTAATAGAGATTACTATAGATACAAGTAAGAGAAAACATTTTTCGATTTTTATATACATATGTGAACAGGGCCGGATTTACTCCCCCTGCCGCCCCAAGGCCAGGTTCCACAATACGCCTTCCAAAAAGGTATTTCTTAATGTGATATATGGATGATATTGGTACATAAAGTCATGTATACAATGCTGTTTTATATATTTTTTATATTCGGTATGCCTTGATACCAACACCACATTTAGGCAATATATATTATATTTTATTTACTCATATTCTTTTTTTATATCTTTGTGTTTATATTTGTATATATACACCTATCTATAGATTTATATGTACTTTTTTTGTATGTGTATATATATATAATTTTTTTTGTGTTAAAGTTTTAATATCAGATATGGACACACATGTCATTGCCGGCTTGAGGGTCAGTTACATCCTACTCTTGGAAAGACCCAATCA